AGACGTGCGCTGCCTCGAGCTCAGATTCACGTCAGGTTCGATCTGACAGCTGATCAAAAACAGGCAAAAGCTTCTTACACGGGTTTGAAGACAGCGAGGCTGAGAGAGGACGGCTGTTCAGTTTTCAGCCTTGAAGAATCTGGAAATCTGTGAATGTGCTGAAACTTGAAGTTGATCGTTAATAAAAAGGATTGTTTGTTCTGCCGCCTCTGAAAGAGAACACTTCATCTCACCTCCATCATCATTCTCCAGGTGTGACATAACCCACTCGGGCTTCCTGAGGTAAGCTCGCCTTCACGGTCACTCACACAGCTCACCACTTCTTCAGCTAACAGCCAATCGAGCAGCACCGGAGGTTGGTTATCCCCGCCCCCTCGTGCTGTTTCCGCAGCCTCTGACATTTCGCCTCAGAGCGCCGCTGCTCGACAGAAGCAATTAAATCGATCGTGACCAGCTCTGCTGCTTTGTATTGATCACGGGAGCACTTTGCAGGTTCTCCTGCCGCCTTACAAATGTCACTGAAAGCCAGTGTGGTGCTGTTATGATCGTCTGTCACAGAGGCATCCGAGCTGTCACGAGGGGCGGGGGGACGACCCAAACGGTGACACGGCGACCCACAAACTGACAAAGGAGGAGGACAGTTGGGGCGGGACGCATGAACCTAAAGAAAACTGAAAACTTGCATGAAGCTCAAACACGCAGACAGAGGAGGAGGAGGAACATTTGAAAGGTTCGGTCAATAAGACGGTCAGGCAGAGAGAAGGAGAGCGATGGGAAAAGGAGGGTTCGTGCACCAAGATGTGCTCAGAGTCCGGAGCAACCTCAGGTACTTTCATGGTCCTGGCAGTGTTTTCAGCACTGTGCCCATGTGTCTGTGTGCAGCCTGATCCTGAACATGTCATCTGATCCATAATTAATACTCAGGATGGCAGCTCATCGGGACCAGAGGGGGCTGGAGCCTTAGCCAGCTACCTGCTCTGTGAGAGGCGTGGTCCACCTGGACAGGTCACCAATCAGCTACAGCCACTCACACCTAAGGATCATTTATATTCAGCAGTTAAGCTAACCCCACCGCTGCCTGAGAGACCCACGCAGACATGCAAACTCCACACAGAAGGATTCAAACCTTGGAGCTTCTGTCTGTGATGCAACAGTGCAAACCACTGCGCTGCTCCATGATGCAAACATCGATATCTGACATGTTTCTGATGTCCTGCTGCCAGCTCCTCGCTAACAGGAAATACTGTACTGGGATCAGCTGATGAGCAGGCCCGTTTCTCCACAGGACAAGGATCTTTGCTATTATCTCCTTTAGCAGAGGAGACACCGGAGCATCCTTCAAGACTGGACCTGCTGTCCCATAAGTCAAAGGGGTGTGATGCTCACGAAACACTGAAACTGTACCGATGCTGTTCAGCAAACCACCGAAAGGACGATTCTTCAACAACCTGGACAGGTGAAGGAGTCCAGAGACATCCACGAACATTTATCAGATCTAAATGAGAGCAGAAAAGCCCAGGCAGCAGCAGCACTGAGAGCACGAACACAAGGGGAATAAAACAGCTAAACCCACAGATGCAGACATGATTGAGTTTCCTATAAATCACAGTATAAACTGTTGAAACATAAACACATAGCTAACATTAACTACCTCACAGATAAGCACCACCTGGACTTTCATCACAGGGACCGTTCCACGCCACATTCCTCCTTCAGTATGAGCGTCGACAGTCTGAACTTAGAGGCCACTGACGATACCAGCTGAGGCTGCTCAGCCTCGGTGTGTTGAAGGCTGCGCTCTCCCTGCTCGAGGTGCTGAAACATGCTGAGATGGACTGGTTCTTATTTAGGAACAACAAGTAGGCCTGCAGAGCGAGAGCGAAGTGCTCTAATAGGGTGATATGGTACTACAAGGTCATTAAGATAAGATGGGGCCTGATTATTTAAGACCTTGTATGTGAGGAGCAGGATTTTGAATTCTGGATTTAACAGGAAGCCAAAACAGGAGAAATCTGCTCTCTCTTTCTAGTCCCTGTCAGGACTCTTGCTGCAGCATTTTGGATTAGCTGAAGGCTTTTCAGGGAGTTTTTAGGACTTCCTATAATAATGAGATAATAAAGAAGTTTATGAAGTCGTTACTAGTTAACGTTAAAGGGAGGGTTGGCTCGACAGAGCTCTGACTGTTTGTCAGCCGAGCTGAAGAGAAACCTGAGCAGTGAACACGGGGAGGCTTCACGTCAGGATCACGTGATCACACGCTGTGGCCTGATGTGGTCCTAATAAGCACCGAGCACCGAGGAGAAAGAAAAAAATATTGTTCGTTTGGAGAATAAAATCCTCAGCAGAAGCTCTGTGACTGACCCGGTCACGTGACTGCCAGTGACGGGGGGCGGGGGGAGCGAGAGAGACAGAGAGTGATAGAGGGGGAGGAGAGATCGAGCGAGAGAGAGAGGAGAGAGAGAGAGAGAGGGGGTCAGCGTGCGGCGCGTCTCCCTCAGAGAAGAGACCGGAGCGCGGAGCCGCTGAGCGCGCACACGGAGGCACGCTGCTGATCGCTGATCACTGATACTGACTGATCGATCAGTCCATCTGAAGCTCGTGCGCGAGGAGGCGCGTTCAGGTGGGCACATTGTTTTCACTTTTCATGTTTTCATAGTTTCTGCTGTCGCGTGAGCTCGGTGTTTGCCTCTGCGCGCGCCGCTGTAGATCAAAGTTAGAAGCAGCTCATCGGTATCTCTCTCTGTCTCTCGTGCAGGTTCCGTGATGCGCCGCTCGTGCGTAAAACCGCCAACAGTAAATGAGCCGAAGGAGAAGTCAGCTGATCTGAGGAGGAGACTTTGATTTGACAGCTGAGCGCGCGGACAGGTGTGAGCGAGCAGGTAGAGCTGCACCTGCTCCACCCCTGCTGCTCCGCCCTCCTCGCGTCGCGGTGTCTCACGTCATCTTGAAACATGGAGAACGTGTCGGTCCCGGGCGCGCCGCCCCCGCTCTGTAACGACTCTGTGCTGCTGTACTCGCCCACGGGAAACCGCTCTGACCCGAACTGCACCCCCCCCTTCTTCGCTGACCTTTACGTCATCCTGCCCGTCATCTACTCCGTGATCTGTGCCGTGGGGCTGACGGGAAACACCGCCGTCATCTACATGATCCTCAAAGCCCCCAAAATGAAAACGGTCACCAACATGTTCATCCTGAACTTGGCCATCGCGGACGACCTGTTCACTCTGGTGCTGCCCATCAGCATCGCCGAACATCTGCTCAACTACTGGCCCTTCGGGGAGGTCCTCTGTAAGGTGATCCTGAGCATCGACCACTACAACATCTTCTCCAGCATCTACTTCCTGACCGTGATGAGCATCGACCGCTACCTGGTCGTCCTGTCGACCGTGAGATCGAAGCGCATGCCTTACCGCACCTACCGAGCGGCCAAGATCATCTCGCTGTGCGTGTGGGTCCTCGTCATCCTCATCGTCATGCCCTTCACGGTGTTTGCCGGCGTCTACGTGGACCCGGCCGATGGCAGGAAAACCTGCGTGCTCAGCTTCCCGAGCCCCGAGCCCCTGTGGTTCAAAACCAGCCGCATCTACACGCTCATCCTCGGCTTCGCCATCCCCGTCTCCACCTTCTGCATCCTATACACCATGATGCTGTACAGGCTGAGGAACATGCGGCTCAACAGCAACGCCAAGGCACTGGACAAGGCCAAGAAGAGGGTCACCGTCATGGTCTTTGTCGTCCTGGCCGTGTGCCTGTTCTGCTGGACGCCGTTCCACCTCAGCACCATCATAGCGCTGACCACGGACCTGAGGACCACGCCCCTGGTCATCATGATCTCCTACTTCATCACCAGCCTGAGCTACGCCAACTCTTGCCTCAACCCGTTCCTCTACGCCTTCCTGGACGACAACTTCAGGAAGGCCTTCAAGACGATGCTGGAGTGCAGCTCGGCCTGAGCGCCTGCAGCGCAGAGCGGGACCACCTGTATGCCGTTTTTTTTGTGCCACTATTCTGAGCGCACGTAAAAATCTTTTGCAGGTGCAAGTGTTGCATTTTGAGGAAACATTTACTTTGAGCAAGAAAAGCAAAGTTTGAGTGACCAAAATTCATTGCTGCGTGCAACAAATGTATTTCAGTGTTTGCTGTTATCCACACACACACATTTCGTCTGAGACCATGCGAATTAAAAACACACAAAGAGTTTTATTAAACAATGAGCCAGCAAAACACGCGCAGTGCTCTTGTGACTGGCACGCCGTTTCTCCTCCGTGTGAAACGCAGAAGTTTCCCCGCGGTTTCAGCCGCGTGCAGCACAAAGCTCTCCGAGGGAGCAGCTGCTCCCATGATTACTGACACCAGCTTTGGGAGTGAGCTTCAAATACACCTGGAGTTTTTAAATATAGAAAGAAATCAGGCAGGTAACACACACAGAGGGTGGGGAGGGGGGCTTCTCTGGGTGGAGGTTGAACAAACGTGTGCTCGTCTTCAGAAAAACATCTGACGTTTTTATGAAGGTGTAAAAAATCCAATTAGGAGGCAGCGAGCTGTGACCTCTGACCCTTCAGGGGCGTGGCCCTCTGGGAGCACCAAACATCAGTACACAGGCTATCAATCAAATCCTGAGGAGGCGGGCTGTGACGTGTCCCCGTGTCACTCTAAGCTGGTGTTGAAATGAGGTTTTCTGGTCACATGACCGACTGCAGGAGCGCTGCTACATCTGCTCTGATCTGTGAGGCTATGCTGCCCCCTGCTGACCACAGGCAGCAGCACAGCACCTTGTAACAGGTGTATATGTGCACGCACACAGGTGCCTGCAGCTCATACAGGCTGCAAGCAGCAGATTGAGCAGCAGATGAAGGTCTGCAGAGCGACCAGAGATCACAGAGTGAAGCAGCTCGTTCAAATCTGGTGCAGCTACAAACTGATTATTATAAATACATTTTTAAATGACGTGTGGAGCAGCGTTTCCTCTGTTGCTACTTTCTGCATATTTGATGTTATTTTAGGAGCAACATTCATCTTTAATGTAACGTTTAGTCTCGTGTCTTTGGAGATAAGTTGTGGGGTAACTCGTGAATACTCCAGAACTTCCACTGTGGGACTTCCTGCTCCCCGGTGGGAAACAGACGCTTGTGAAAAATCCAAGGCTGGAACTCGTCCGACCGCTTCTATCAAAACCACGCTGAAAAATATGAACCTGTTGGAGTTCATGTGGTTTTGCAGCTTGACAGCGCCCCCTATGGGACAGGAAGTACACGCAGCGGGAGCTCTGGAGTACATAAGATGTTGTCTGTGTAAATTTTGGGGGCAGTAAGCAGAAGGCACTGGGCATATGGATGCTGGTGTGATTCCCTGGTTTGGGACTTTTCTGTCATGTAACCTGTTCTTGTTCTTTCACAGTGACAGTAAAGTACTCGGTACGTGTCAACGCAGCGGTGTATCGTCACTTTCTTTAACTTCCTGCTTTATCAGATAAATGATGAGCTCTTCTGAAGGCTTCACGGCTCTGACAGCAACAACATGCTGTAATAACCCGTCTCACTGTACAGATGAATGTAAAGTCATAACTATGTAAAATGTTCTCTCACACAGAAATCATCATTTCTCATGCAGCCTGTAAAAAACATGAACTCACATTTTATTTTGAAAATTGCTTTTCATGTATTTTTGATATCTTAGACTGAGCTGCTCGATGAATCCAATAAATGTGCAGATGATGAATCGTGAGAGGAATCTTGACTTCACCCTTCACATGTTCATCAAACATGCGTCACAAAAAGACAATCTGTTCATGATCTGCTTCCTGCCGCAGTCCAGACATGTTTGTTGACTGATGAGACTGAACTGGCTGCAGGTTCCAGTGTGAATGTGAATGTGTCTCTGTGTCGATGACCTGTACAGGTGTGCCCTGCAACAGCTGAGACAGGCTAAACCACCGAAGTAGCCCTGAACTGGATGGATGATCTTTCTGAGTTAACTTCAATAATTACTTCCTCCAAACCATCAACGTGTCTTTTAGACCCCATTCCTACAAAGCTGCTCAAAGAAGTCCTGCCATTAATTAATGCTTCGATCTTAAATATGATCAACCTATCTCTAATAATCAGCTATGTACCACAGGCCTTCAAGCTGGCTGTAGTTAAACCTTTACTCTAAAAGCATCTCTAGACCCAGCAGTCTTAGCTAATTATAGGCCAATCTCCAACCTTCCTTTCATATCAAACATCCTTGAAAGAGTAGTTGTCAAACAGCTAACACAGAGGTGGGCAACTCCAGGCCTCGAGGGCCGGTGTCCCTGCAGGTTT